AACCAGGTTATCCATGACATAAGTCCTGTGTGTGTGTCTGTGTGTACTTCTTAGGTTTTGAAGGTGCTATATACTGCGATTGGTTGTTATTCGGAGCCTGCTTACAAATACTTCATAAGTCAATATACAACATTGTTGTGTGTGTGTGTGTGTGTGTGTGTGTGTGTCATCCTGCTATGCTCAAGTCACATGTGTTTATATTACACATGCCTTCATGGAGTCAAACCAGGTTATCCATGACGTGTGTGTGTGTTTCTCAGTTTGTGAAGGTGCTATCTATACGCTGAAGTTGGTGGTAATTGGGAGCCTGCTTACAGATACTTCATAAGTCAATATACAAATCCTTTGCCAAATCCTTTGCCAAATCCTTTGCCAGTCAGATTAAATCCATTCCACAGAAACATTTCCCTGAGATCTCATAATCCTCTTACAGTACGTCTCCTTCCTAAATAAGGCGTTGAGGTATAAGCACGAGCTGAATGAGTAAATACTTTCTAATACACACTGCAAAGAAACACTGAGACATAATGGCGTCGTCACAAGGACACAGTGCTCAAGGCTCGGAGCAACAATAGTGTTAGTTTGGAGAGACTGAACACCGTATTCAGAAACACTGCAGACAGTTATTTTATTATTATTATATTTCACTCAGCTGACCTTTAGCTTCTTGCTCTCTCTGCCCTGCTCCTCTTCCTCTGTTCTCTCATATCTGATGGCAGCACAAGGACATCACAGATTGTCTGACAAAGGTAATTGATAGTCTTGAAAGTCCGTCCAAACTCTGAGAGGCTGTACATTATCTGACCTGTCACTTTTTACAGCTGATAGTGATGAGGCTCATTTAAAAGCAGCGATAAGAGGGTACAGTAGAAGGAGACTCGAGGGGACGAAGTAAAGTCAAACTTCTCCATTCAAGTTACTGAGTTCATTAACACTTGCCGTGCTGATGACTTTAATGGACCTTGTTGTACGGTGGACGACATGCAAACACTTCCATTAGATAAACACGCTGCAGTTTCAGAAACGATGCGAATATAAAACAAAAAGACATGGAAACGAGGAACATTTTCACCAACTTGTTAGAACAGGATTATATACAATGGATCAGGACAAAAGGAGAGATAATCTTTTCCCTGAAACGTTTCGGAATCTCTTAACACAGAGGGGATACAAATGTATGTATAAAAGACATGGAAAAAGTGGATTTTGCATAATAGGTGACCTTTAAAGCGCTGCATAAACGAAACGCTGCAAATACAAAACACAACGGAAACTAGGGGACACTTAAAAGCAGCTGGGAACGGAGCGGTTGACCCCCCAAAAAGCATACATTAATGTAATAAAAGGCAGGTTTTTGTCTCGTAATAACAGCAAAAACCGACCCTTGTGAAATCTTCAGTGAATCTATATATGGTCGACCCGCTATATTTGAATCTGTGAGAATTAAATTCAATTAATTCATTAGGATTAGAGTCCGACCTCTGATTTTAATGAGGGCTAACAGGCTTTTGAATGAGCTACACTAATCAGGGGTGTGTTATTCATGTGCCACAATAAGGAGCTTCATTGTACTCGGATAAAACCCTGTAATAGCTGCACTAATGGAAACCAACCATTGTAGTTTTTTATGTGAGGAATGTGTTGATTTGCATAAGAAATAACCCCCGTTGTGTTGAGCATTCGCAGATTTCTTTGCAACGACTTTTCCTTGCATGTTCTAAGGCAGTGGTTCCCAACCTGGGGGGCGCCAAATATCGCAGGGGGGGCGCCAGGCCTCAGATGATTTGAGGCCAAATATCATATTTAGACTTTTTGTTTTGTTTTTTTGTGAAGTTAGTAGCTATTAAAGACATAAAAATACATAAATGTATAATTATTTCTTTAATAGAAATGTTTCTTCTGCCCATAAAGTGTCCAAACCAGGCTTTTCTGGATAAGCGCATTTTTTAAACATAGTCATTGTCCATGCCGGTTTCAGTTGGATTATTTGTCAGTTGCTCCGATCAGATCGGTCTCCTCCATTTTGTAGATTATTTACGACTTTTGAATCCACATAAACACATCGGCAAAATCCGGCTTACTTTGAGCAACAGTTTAATCCCTTTGTGAATTGTTTCCACTTGAGCCGTCCTTTAATTTCTTCATACAGCGGGAATCCAAATGAATGAATCCTGAGTCCAATAACCATCAAAGTCACTCCAATAGTGCTCCTTAATTACGCTTTCATCCTCCTTTAACAACATACTTCACATTCATCCAGTTTGTGACAGTAGTTGTAGCACTTTGAGACTTTGAATCTTTAATTTCCGCTGTTGCCCCCCCCCGAGTCATTTGGGGGGGGGCCCTTGGGTATTTCTTGTTTTAAAGAGGCCCTATTATGCATGTTTAACCTGAAAATGAGTCGAGGTGGGCCCCTTAAAGTGTTGGAGTATCAGAAATCGAGAATATGTGTTGAGATTGATTTCTTAATTGCGGACGCAGATTTCTTTCCGCCTCTTTTTCCAGTCGTCCTTGTGGTGTCGTTCAAATGTGTCTGATGTTCTTGTTTAATGATGCACAAAATCAATTGTGGTGATTAGTATTCCCGCCTCTTATTCCCCGTTTCAATCGCTCTCTATTTGACATTAGAGGCAAATATTGCTCGGCCATACATCTTCCTTCATCTGTGAAATTATGTTTTGTTTCTGAGGGGTCGTCTGCGTCGGAGGTTTCCGTGTTCAATGCGTTAAGCTTTGAGGGAAAAAAAATCACACCGAGCCAGAGGATGAGTACACAGATCTGTAGAAAAGCCCGGAGAGTCTGTCAATCAGAGCGGGATTTATCAGCACATCAAAGCTGGGTCTGCTTTCATCTGCTCCACATGTTGTCATTGCACATTACAGCTGAGAGAGCGCTTAGGTAGATGGGCAAACAAGGTAACGCCAGATGAAAGAAGCTCCAGATGAGGAAGAGATTTATGGATTTATCCTCAACTCCACTGCAGTCCGACGAAAGGACAAGGCTAACACTTAGCATGTTGTTAGCATGCACATCAAAGTGTGTCTGGTGCTTTGATTTCCTTTGCCTCTCGTTGCAGCACGGTGTGTTACATCACTTTGTTAAATTATTATTAGATTGAGGTTGTTTTTCTCCAAGAAAGTGCTTTGAAGAATGTTTGAAGTTGTGTTGCACTTCAGGCTAAATAGAGAGTGGCGTCATCTGCATAAAAACCTTTAAAAAACTGGAAAATGTGTATTTTATAATAAATTAAAGTGAACGCTCGAAGAAAGCAGGACTTCTGAATGTGGAAATAAATAAGAGATCCAGCTCCAGGTTGAGATAAAGTATTAGTTCCACCTTTACGAGCTGTGATGAACACATGAATGCATCAATAATCATTTTGATGTATATCATTCTCGAATGTGAAAAACCAGAACTTAAACGCACACAAGACTAATCGCAAGGACAAGACAAGAGAGGGAAGAGAAACTCAGAGGGCCCTTCTCACTTCGGTTAAATGAAATCCTTGCTTCCCTCACTTGCGTCGTTTCCCTGTGTCTAGTCCCTCCCACCAGGGAAGCATGGAGGGACGCAAGGAAACCACGAGAAGCAGGGAAATGAGTTTTAAGAGCAATGGGACGTCCTTTCCTCCGGAGCGTCACGTGAAGCGACGTCCGTTTGTGATGACGCTGCACAGCTGATCGTCTGACAGCAGCTCTGTCCCCGTTGTTTTCACACACCCCCCCGCCTCTGTTAGTACACATTTACTGACACTAACATTTGTATCATCTGTTGTAGACCCAAATACATTAAATCAAATAAGAACTCATTCTCAAAAAAGATAAACGCCATTCTTAAAATGTATAAACGAACAATAGTTTGATTAATATTGATTAGAGTGCACAAAATAAATAAAATAATTGAGAGAAGAAAAAGAGATATGTTATCTATCAAAACCCAGTTTAACATTCATTGGATTGCACACTTTGTTTGTTTGTGTGGATATGTAGTACATTAACATTTTAATAGCACTTAATGACTGACTGAATGACAATAAATAAAAATGTAAAACGAAAAAAGCGATCATGAAAATGTTTCCAAAAAATGAATAAAATGATTTTTGACCACTTTGTTGTTCAGATATTTCTCATATTTGTAACTAAATGATACATGAATTGAAACAAAACACGGTATAAACTGAGGAGTGACTCCCGTGAGGTTCATGTATTTTCTTCACTCCGCTGGGAAACTGCTCTCATGTCAAGAAGCATCAGATCAGTGCATGCGCTGCATCGTCCAATCAGTGAGCGATACACAGTAAGGGGGCGAGTGTCTGAGGATTTCATCGAAGGATGGTCTGGTGGTTCCTCGGTTATCGCTCCTCGCTCCTCGGTCCTCCGGCAGAAATAAGGCCACTGGGACGCTACTCAAGATGGCGCAGACAAATCAACTTCCGGTGAGACCGAGACCGAGGAGCGAGGAAATTAAAAATAAGAGAAGTGAGAAGGCACCAGGGGAACACAGTCAGGTGATCAAACAGGAAGTAACAACAGACATAACACAGGACACCAAAGACAGATCTTGAAAACTAACAGGGATCTCAACAACACTGGAAAGAAAATGAGTCTCAAATACTTCAAGTCCGAATCAGACTCGATTGGAGATACTTAGTTCGTTATGTACCGTTGTTACACTGAGCATTATGTGTACATCCGGTTTGTGTTAATATGCCATATCATTAAATTCAACACTGAAAAGGAATTTTAACTTTAATATTTACTGGTAATTTACGATGCGTACGTCTACGTCCTTTATGTTTAAATACACCAAATAAATGATGAAGTACAATTTGTTCTCATGTCTTCAGCACAAAGCTTTAAGCGCTGTTACACTGCGTTTATTCTGTGTGAGTTTAATCATTATCTTTAGTACTTACCTTTCTAATTCTACGCATCTGTATTCTTCCTGTATGTGTAAATTCACCGTATACATTATAAATGATCTTTCTCTTTCCTCCCCAGCACTGAAGGACGCTCGCTTCCAGCTGGTGAACTTCTCTGACAACGAGCTGAAGGTGTCGCTGTCCAACGTGTCGCTGTCGGACGAGGGGCGCTACGTCTGCCAGCTCTACACCGACCCCCCCCAGGAGGCCTACGCTGACATCACCGTGCTGGGTACACACACACACACACACAGAACACACACCACACACACACACACACACACCACACACACACACACACACCACACACACCACACGCACACACATACACACACACATACACACACACCACACACACACACACACACAGAGACACACACACACACACACACACACAGAGACACAAACACACACACACGCACACACACACGGAGACACACACACACACGCACACACACAACAAACACACACAGAGAACACACACACACACATACAACAAATACACACAAAACACACAACACACACACATAGAGACACACACACAACACACACACCACACACACACACACACACACACACACAGAGACCACACACACACACACACACACACACACACACAGAGACACAAACACACACAGAGACACAAACACACACACAAACACACACACACACACAGACACACACACACACACACACACACACACACACACACACACACACACACCACAGACACACACACACACACACACACACAGAGACACACACACACAGACACACAACACGCACACAGAGACACCCACACACACACACACACACACAGAGAGAGACACACACACAGAGACACACACACAGAGAGAGACACACAAAGAGACACACGCACACACACCACACACACAGAGACACACACCACACACACACACACACACACACAGACACACACACACACAGACACACACACACACCACACACACACACACACACACACACAGAGAGACACACCCACAGAGAGACACACACACAGAGACCCCCACACACAGAGAGAGACACACAAAGAGACACACGCACACAGAGACACACACAGAGAGAGACACACAAAGAGACACACGCACACACACAGAGACACACACACACAGATCACAAGGACAGCAGTTAAAGTGACGTTGGAACAAAATATATATATTTCATGTGTTCTAACTTATGTTGTCTTCTCAGAGTGTTGTGTTGAAGGAGCTAATATAATGTAAGAATGAGAGATATGACATATTTCACAAAATAACTAATAAACATTGATTTAAATAAGCCGTACAGATACACACAAAGGTATACATGTATTATTGCAGAGTTACACAATTGTTTTAGTCGTGTGCAAAAGGGCCAGTGGTGGAAAAAGTACAAATACCATACTGTAAAAATACTGCATTTCAGGTAAAAGTACTGCATTGAGAATGGTACTTACTGTTAGTAAAAGTATTTAAGTGTGATTATTAAAATGTACTTAGAGTACAAGTAATGATTGCAGGAAAAACTACAAACATTTAAAAAAAATTTAAAGCAGCAAATTTTAAGATTTAAGACGCTGTGAAAAGCTTTTGAACAAAGTGCTGCCAATGAATTGTCAATGAACCCGCTCATTGACTCAATAACTGTAAGCGGGGTAGCAGGAGTATTCGATTGATCGGCTATCGTTACCATGGAAACTACTTTCTAGGAACTACTTTCTGACGGAGATTAACTCAAGCAGAAAGCGTAGGTTTGGGAACAAATTAGCCCACATTATGAAATTATTTTACGATATTGTTGACAATGATAGTTTGTGTTATAGAATCGCAATCATACACTTGAGGCCGTTCTTGAACGTCATTATTGGTACTCCAGTACAGGCGTACGGACTTCGCCACCACCATAGGGCGGTGGTGGCGAAGTCCATAGGGACTTGGCTTGGCAACTGGAAGGTCACCAGTTCAAGTCCCGGAAAGACCAAGTGCTACCGAGGTGTCCCTGAGCAAGGCACCGTTCCCTACACGGCTCCCCGGGCGCCGTTCATAATGGCAGCCCACTGCTCCTAACACTAGGATGGGTCAAATGCAAAGGTTTCGTTACATAGTACCTGCTCTACGCAATGACAATAAGTTGAATCTTCTTCTTCTTCATCTTCTTCATTGTTTTGGTTACTAAATGAAATGCTGGATTGTTTACTCTTCATCAAATCATCAGAATCTAAAGGTCTTTCCTGAGTATTGTGTCAACATCTGAATTTAAAAAGTAAGTACTCTATACATTTGTAGAATAAATCTAGCGGAGTAAAGAGTACAAAATATAGTGGGGTAAAAGTATAATGTAGTATACAATGAAAATACTCGGGTGAAGTACAAGTACCTCAAATGTGTACAGTACCTGAGTAAATGTACTTTCCATCACTGATAAAGACTGAGTGATATCTGCACAATACGGCCGTCACTTTGTCAAATTTCAAAACATAGTCTAGTGCTCAGGGAGTAAAAGTTATTCCGCCTGTGTTTACAGAGTGTGTGCGTGTGTGTGTGTGTGTCAGTCCCTCCAGGTAACCCCATCATCGAGGCGCGTGACGAAGTTCTGAGTGAGGGCAACGAGACGGAGATGACCTGCACCGCCATGAGCAGCAAGCCTGCCGCCAGCATCAGATGGATGAAGGGAGATAAAGAGCTGCCAGGTACGTACACACACACACACACACACACACACACACACACACACACACACACACACACACACACACACACACACACACACACACACACACACACACACACACAGTTAAAGTTCCCTTCATAATTATCACTTGATCCGTCGTCTTTTTCGATCTGTTATCTGAACAAAGCTCCTCTCCGTGTGACACAGTGTGTTCCATGAACCAGAGAAAACTGAATGATGGGCTACCTTGAAGAAAATTAAACTGCATCCACTGTTCCTCTCGTTCTGAAAATGCATCCTGTGGCTTTCCTGCAATTGTCTCTTTTTATAAGTTGTAATCAAGGTGACATTTTCTCCCCTCAGCATTGTGAGGAGTGAGAAGCAAAGGATTCAACTTCTTATTAAAGGTGAAGTGAGTCCCCTGAGCGGAACAGAAAATATCAGCTTCTCAGAAATCAGTTTTCACTAGGTGTATGTCCCCTGACATGTCTGACTTGTATCTGGGTACGGTTCAAGGCTTGATTGCCATGTGCTCGGCAGCTTCAGTGTAGATATGGCAATGAGAAACTGAAGTCACAGGCTCCTCCAACAGTGCAACATATATATAGGACTAGAAAATAGTGCAAGAGAATGTTTTGAGATGTGCAAGTAAATACAAATAAAGTAGAAATAGTGCAAGAAGAGGCTATACACGTAAATGGAATATGATATAGATACATTTGTCACTACGGAGTCGATGTTATTACATTACATTAAAGGTGGGGTAGGTCATTTTGGAGAAAGCAGCTCGAGTGCGCTAGAATTTGAAAATACACAGCCGGAACAAATCTGCCCCTTCCTCACAGAGCCCCTCCTCCAACACACACGAACGCCCACATGACCAATGAGGGCACGAGATAAATTTGTGCCCAGGTGGAAGGCTGACAGGCAGGTAGGCCATCCAGTTACTTTAGCCGGCTCAGATGATTGGTCGTGCTTTTTACAGCGCCACGGCTTCCACAGATGAAGTTTTTTAATGGATTTGTTGTCAAAGCATTTCAGATATTCATTGCTATCGGGATGTTAAGAGCATTCCATGGAATATAACAAGTGTTTCTGAAGTGAATTACCTACCCCACCTTTAATGTGTGTTATATCCAGTTACTGAAGGAGGAGGTGGGGTGTAATTGCAAAAACAAAAAGGGTAGTCTGTAGAGTTTCAGAATATTTTTAGATAATTGAAATGCAGTCGTCAATAATCCAGAACAAAGGTCATCATGAGTTTTTGCATAAACTGTGTTTGTCTAATCTTAAATGTCTCCATGTTGCCACTGCAGTTCCAACTATTTCAAACATGCACACACGTTAATGTGCAGCACCAGTCAAGAGTTTGGACTAGATTAATACTGAAGACATCAAAACTATGAAAGAACACATATGGAATTATGTAGTAAATAAACGAGTTTAAATAAACCAGAATATTATTTATACCTCACGAAGCCAAGAGTGAGCAAAGCTGTCATCAAGGCAAAAGGGCTACTTCGAAGAATCTAAAATATAAATCCTATTCTGGTTTGTTTAACACTTTTGTATGTGTTCTCTTAGAGTCGTCATGTCTTCAGTTTTAATCTACAATGTAGAAAAGAATAACAAATCAATAAAAACCTGTGAATGAAAAGGTGTGTCCAAACTTCTGACTGCTACTGTATATAAACATTTCTACTTTTAAAAGTTGATTATCTCTAACTTTTGTTAAGAATCGTGGAAAAAGGTAGGACCCAAATGCAGACGACAAAAAGGTAAAGGTTATAAACAAAAGCGAGCTTTATTTAAAAGCTGGAAAAACACAAAAACATGGCATGAAAAACACAGGTAGCACAAACACACAACACTGAGCAACGAGGAGGGAGACAGGAGAGACTAACAAGAAGCGTGACGTGAAGGGAGGACAAACAATGAACCGACACTGAACACAGGAAGAGACTAAATACAGGGAGGGGTAATCACGGGACGAGAAACAGCCGGGCAGGGGAGGAGAAACACAAGGGCAACAGGTGAACACAATCAGACAATCAGACACACCGGGGAAACTAACGACAGGGAGGAAGACACAGGTGGGAACAGAACAGCAAAACAAGACAGACTGAGCTAGGTGGAATAAGGGAAAGGGGTTAGTTAAGATAAGTTAAGATAAGTTAAGATAAGATGAACCTTTATTAATCCCTGAGGGGAAATTCAGTTGTACAAAGCAACAACAGGGTAAGCGTGAAAAAACAGGACAGCAAAGATTCACACAGATTAATAAAATCAAAAATAAATAAAATCAAGAAAAAATTAAAATGATAATAATAATAATAATAAAAGACTATAAAATAGGAGATGAGTAAAAATAAGAGTAAAATAACTGTCAGCATATGTACATATTTGGTCATCTAAGTTATAAAGTACGGAATAAGTTAAAGTGAAAATGGACATCTGTACACATGGTGACATGTCATATAAGGGAGGAGAAACAAACAATGAACCGACAGGGGAACACAGGAAGAGACTAAATACAGGGAGGGGTATTCACGAGACGAGAAACAGCCGGGCAGGAGAGGAGAAACACAAGGGCAACAGGTGAACACAATCAGACAACTATAATAATAATAATCCTTATATTTATTATAGCGCTTTATCAAAGACTCTCAAAGCGCTTTACAAATACACATTACACATACAGATCATACATGTAATGGTCATCTACTGTGGACAATACCCACAGGAGCAAATTCAGGTGAAGTGTCTCCAAGGACACAACGGCCTGACGCAGTGGGGCGGGAGCGGGTTTCGAACTGGAGTTCCCCAACGCCCCCTTGATCTGATGATCAAACGCACAGACCACTGCGCCACCCGTCCCTAAACTAGACACACCAGGGAAACTAACGACAGGATAACAAGACACAGGTGGGAACAGAACAGCAAAACAAGACAGACTAAACTAAAACCGTGACATGACATTAGGATTGTGACAACGTTAGCATGCTTATGAAGCCTTTTTAGGGTCAGTTTCTTCTTCCTCTGCCGGCTGTTTCCTTCTCAGTGTCTGCATCAATGCAAGTTGCTTTTCTTTTCTAAAATGAAGCTCTGCTGCAGCTCTGAATATCTGCCATTAGAGCAATGTGGGTGTGCAGCGGTGGTCAGAGCCTGTTGGCACTGTGACAACTTTCATGCCTTCATCAAGGTGGAGGAGCTTCAGAGGCCGAGCGGCGAACAGGCCTCCTGCCAGCAGAGCTCCGCCTCAGAGCCAGACCAGAGCTTTGTGAAGTCTTTGAAACAAAGGTCCTAATCAGAGGCTGTGTCTCCGGCCCTGAGCGGCTTCACCTCCACACCTTAAACCCTGCGTGGTCGAATCTGAGAACGATGCAGCATGCCAAGGTCAGGGATTGTCTTAAAACTAACTGTTAGAAATTCCCGACACTTAAAAAGAACGTGTGTTTTCCAGCTTCTCTGGCCACTCTTCAGATCTCTGTTTTATTTTGTGTGGGAAACATGAAGCGTGTACTAATCATAGTCTTTAGAAACCTTTAATGTGACCAGATGTATTAATAATACATGGCATTTTGATCGTGCTTTTCCTAATGCTCATTATTATGTTATTATATTTAGACTAGATGTGGGAAGTCAAGTATGTAAATGCTTACCAGTGTGTACAAGGGACGGATTGGCAATGCCTAGGCTCTAAGCATTGAACAGTTAAAGGTCATGTTCATTAAGATTCAAAGGTTTTAATGTGATATGCTCATAAGCTCCAGTGTAGAAATGGCAATGACCCGAGCTCCTCCAACGATGCAACAAAGTGATATAATAAAAGACAAAAGTACGAATAAAAAATAGAGCAAGAAGTCTATACACACGTAAATAGAATATGATACAAGAACAGAATGTAAAATTAAATATTGTACAGTAAGATAATATTAAATAGGGTTTGTTACAGTGCTAACTATTTAGATTAATAAATAAATTGCAAGATGACAAACAGATGAATGTTTATGGAGGCATGAGAAGCTCCTAAATGTCGTAAACAAAGGTCCAAATATATATTGTGTCATTACAGGAAATTACAAAGTGAGTGCCTCTAAACACAGCTATAGAAACTGACTCTATCACAGTGATACTTCAACATAACATATTTAATAATAGCTCACGACAGGAGCTATTGCTTTTATAAAACGGTTACCAAGTGTGGCAATATGAAAGAAGAATACACACTCTAATTGAAATAGTTTTTATTAGTAAATAATGATATTCAAAATAAATAGTCCCTCCGTTGCCTTCTGCACGAAACATAGTGCGAGGTGGTTGCTAGGCAACAACACTAACAGCTAGCGAACATATTAGACAGAGAGCGTTGATCCATTATTTGGCTGTTTATTTACATTCATGTGTATGTTGCTGTTTGTTGTGCAGCCACTGAAAACCTGTCCAGCATCAGTAGCATGCTTACGAGGTTACTTGTATAGGTTGAGGCTGTTCTAGGCTGTTGCTTGGCGTGGTGAGAATATTGCTCCACTCTCTCTGGTCCTCGAGATTCGGCTTTGAATGCTGCTACTTCTCCAGTTGGTCTACCTGCTCTTCACGTAGCTCTGCATGTCGTTGTTTAGGTGCTTTCTGGAGATAGGCACTCCTCAATCCACTCCTCCATTGTAAGACCCCCCCGGAGGTCGAAGTTAACCTTACATGTTTCCATCTTAAGCTTTGTTAGTTAGACGTAATGTAACGGTTGTAGCTTTTCTCAGACGCGGAGGGATACATGACTTGTGAAAAGTAACTACAATTCTACCCGTGATATACGCTGATTATATCACGACTAAGAACCAATCAGATTGCTTGATTTGACTTGTCCGTTTTATAAATGTATATATATATATATATTCTGTATACTGAAGAAATACTGATAAACTATTCAGGGTTAACCACATCATCTTCTTTACTTTTTGCAATGCTGCACTTCAATATATAACATTTATATAACAATATATAGCCTACAGTGTTTAGCTG